GACTCAAAAGTGTTCCCTGGTAACACTATTATCAAAGGGAAAAAAATGCTTCATTTGACTTGTTTTTGTGGCTATGGTAAATCCAGTAGAATAAGTCCCCGATTTAAGAATACTTGTACAATAACATACACTTTTCCAGGAAACACTCCACCTAACGAGTAATTGCCACTCAGTGGGTCCAAAGTCCTATTCTTTCCATTCTTGTTAATCTAAAAGGTCTTTTAAAATGTTAGGTTCTGAGGAGAGCAGGGCCAAGATCTTTGTATGGTTTTTTCCCATTTATGGAGGATTATGTAATGAGAGCAATACCTCTCTCAAATACCAAGAATCTTGCTAGATTTTTATTTCAGGAACAGTTACCATGAACATATTGACTGCAGACGGGACCTTTTTCAATGAATCAAGTCTGGAGACAACAGCAAAAAAAAATTGCTTTTGGATCAAAAAATATGATCTTACTTGAGTATCAACAGTCATTTCCCAGGGGAAGTGATCTCAAATTAAACCAGGAACAGGGGGAAAAAAGGCAACTGATGATTTTGCATAATGTATGAAAGCCAAAATCAGCCTACAGTGGCAAAACTGGTTATGTTCCTGGATTCATGTTGCAACCCTAGTTACAAAGCAGCTCTAGGGGGTTCAGATGGCTCTTGTTTTGATCATGTTTGTGACCACATATGTGAACGTTAAAGCAAGAAGAATTTTTCTTTGAACCAGTATTAGATGAATATATTTTCTATATGGAGCTTTTCCTTTATGCTCTTAGCAAATGGAAGGGAGACAGAATCAAGCCATGGACAAATATCTGCACAAAAAAAGCACGTAAACACAGACACGAATATTTCTTGGGCACTTTTATTATTCATTTAGTCTCCTGTTTAAATAACTTCAACCAACCTTTTGGGAAATAGAGCAAGTATGATACGTGATCAGTGACACACCAAGAGTAATGAAATTAAAAGCCCAAAAGAACATATTGTGAATGACTGGAAATTGTTTGCCTAAGCTCTTCTTGGTCAATGTTTTGAAGTAAACTGAAGTAAAATTCCCTGATCTGATGTGGGGTTCCCAGCTGGGAATAAGAGATCTGAGCCCAGAAACTATAGCTGCATTCATCCAAGAGTTCATTTCAAATGAATAGTTTTATCATCTCTTCCATAAAAGAGAAAAGTATTTCAAATGTTTATTTTTAGCTTGGCACATGAATAATAGAAATAAAAGTATCTGAATATTTAATACTAAGCAATTCTTTTAAAAATAAATTTCAATATATGGGTTAATAATTACATATTAGTAGAGGGTTTTTTTCAGTAATGCCAGGACCATGCTTTTAAATGGCAAGTCTCAGCCATTGTGAAGTCCAAGGTAAAGTCGTGTGCCCTGAAACACCCAAGAAATAGTATTATCCGGTATGACACATGCCTAGATATGTCTTATTGTGATCATAATATAGCCTAAAGGTAAGAGTACAGAACAATCACTTCTGTGTTATTTTTTCACTGTTGTTTATGTTTCTCTACAACAAAGAAAAGCTTCTGCTAGAGTTATTTATATCGTTGATCAGTAGAACTATTAATGATGGTTTATAAATTCATAAGACAAGTTTTAAATTTTGCATTTGCTTTAAAAATGAAATCTATTAGTACATTAACTTGATCATGTTTCCTCACTGAAAAGTCAGTTCATCTTGAAAAACACTTTTGGAAAAGCAGAATGTACCACCACTACATAAGAGAGACTTAAAGAGCCAAGCAAAAGCCATGACTGTGAACTGCCAAATATGAATTAAAGGACTAATGTTTTCTTGTGCTCAGGGCTTACTGAAAGGGTAGTGACTGTCCACATTTATTATCAGTATGACCTGGGAAGTTGAGTACTTCACATCTGCAGACTTGGCATCCTGCAAAACCACCTTGGAGGATCCTGCCTTTCATCTTTCATTCACATTCTCCTTCAGTCAATGGGACTTCAGGACACAGGTTTGGACTTGAAGATACTGAGGTCTGTCAGCATGAAAAACATTATTGACAGAGAATCCCAGCACTGAGGTGTTTTTCTATGAACTTTGGTCCCCCTAACAGGTGAGTTCTACAGAACAATTGGCAGCCCTTCTGTTGAGTGAGGAATAAAACTGGTAACACATGTGTCTAGTTTTTTAGACCTATTTGCTGTGTAGTCACAATGTAGGACAATTTCCCTTCCATTATACTAGCATTAAAGTCAGTGGTGACACAACAGAGAAGAGTTTTGCTTTTTGAGTTTATTGGCTAGCTCTGATGGGAAAAGCACAGTGAGTAGAAGCACGTAAACACAGTAAGATAGCTAGATGTACATTTTAGACATAGGGTCTATTGTTTGGAATTAAAACCAGCCTCTGCCCTTTAACACCATTACCAAGGAGAATATGCCATCTAATTCACCAAAAATATAAATCCCCAGATTCTTTTATTCTAACATGGAAAACACAGTGATGTCTGAGAACTTGTTAAGCCTAGATGTTGTCCCTTTCCTTCCTCTTCAAGAGTCCTGTGGGGACCATTTTCTCTTGTGAGAACTGGATCTTCTCTGCAGTGTTACTGTGAATCATTCTGCTCAACCTGACAAGACTCAAATGGAATATTAAGATTTTCAAAATTATGAACAGAGGGAAAAAATAAAATTAGAACAATCATGGAGGATTCACCTTCGTAAAATGGTATGTATTGACTAATGTATGTTCTCTAACTTACCTTATACTTGAGTTTCATTAACTTCCATTAGTGAGGTAATTAATTTAGCAGAAGAAATGAAAGGAGCCAAAGAGATGACAGCAGGCATGTGTGAGAAAGAAGTCAGGTGTAGGTCTGTAATGGTGGGCAGTGGAAAAGTGTTTGACACGCATTTTGTAAATGTTAAGAAAGTGTAAAGGAGTGAATCCAGAGGAGTGTATGCAGGAGACATGTGGTGCCTTTTCTACTGTTTTGTCCACGGTTGTGTCCTGCAGTCCAAGGCAACATGTCTAATCTTCTTGTGTAGCTTTGACCACTTACAGTAAAGGGTTAATATAAAAACCCCTAAACTAAAATGCTTCCTGGTTGGGTAGAAAATATATATCTTCTTAGACCTAGGGCTTCTTAGGGAAATGTTGTATCCAAGGACTGTTTCGTGCGCTGGAAGTGCTGTACTGAACCTCTGGGGCAAATGTTTGCATTGAATTGTTGAAAGAGTCTGAGATTGGCAACACCACCCTGCCCTTGGCTAATGAGCCTTCCCTGAGACAATATCAAGTGCAATTACCTTTCAGGGAATAACAACATACCAAAGAACCATGGACTCTGCAGAGAAAAGCGAAACACACATTCGTAGGTAGAACCTGTATGAATTAGCATTAATTATCCAGTAGAGACAACGGGGTTGCAGTAAGTCTCAGTTCCCAAATCACAGCGTAGATCACAGCAAATGTGAGCTACTTATAGAAAAAACATTTGCAAAGTTCAGCTTGCCCTAATACCCCTCCACTCCCCGTATGCTTCTGCACTTGATTTGTGCTTGGGGGTTGCGCTTCTGGGACAATTTTCCTGACCGCCAGTTTTGAGGTGACTGGAGAGGTGATAAAGTGGGTTGCTGGCAGTGAGAAGCTCCTGAACGTCAGCGGTACAGTGAGGCTAATGCAAGGATTCATTCGAGGTTTCACAAGGTTTCATTCGAGGTGTCGACGTGGCCAAGGACACCCAGGTTCCTTCAAAAGCGCTCAGGAGGTCTGGCTACAGGGCAGCCGTCTGCCCTCGGCTGCAGAGCCCGCAAAAATCTCGTCCTCCGGTCGGCTGGTTCTCTCGGCAAAGGTAGAAACTGGGAACAGTCCCAGGAGACGAGGTTTTGCTGTACCCATTCCTAGGAAGGAGATCAGGGGAGAAGGCGGGAAACCCGCATATGAGAAACGAGAAAATTGGGAAAACGCGAAAGTGCGCGTCCAGCGCTGGAGAGATGCAGGGGGTTGCCGGCCGGCGCCTTTGTGCCGGGCTGCGTCTGCCCGGGGCGGCACGGCCCGTCCCGCCGGCGGGGGTTGCGCGGGGCGACCGCAGGGCAGAGCGGGACGGGCGGGCGGCGCAGCGCCCTGGAGCCCGGGGGCGCCTCCCCGGGGAGCCGGGAAACCCCTTCGCAAACTCTTCGGACGTGAAAACGGCGCGGAGCGGGGCCGGCTGCTTTGCTGAAACCAGGCACACGTATATTGAGTTTGTCAGGGATCATAAAATGCGAATTGATTATTCAAACAGCCATTGATTATAAAAGAATGCTTACTGCGGCAATGGGAAAGGTTAAAAGGAAATTGACCCTCTGCGTACGTGACATAAAGTCATTAGGTAAATGAGATATTCATACGGAGTGTAATCAAGGTCATGCTAATTTTATTTGAGGTATTCGACTCAAATCTCGAGCTTCGTTTGGGGACAGCAAATTGTCCCCGAGGGAAATGAAACGCCAGGTAGACCACAGGTGCCGTAAAAAAACCCCGCAAATAAAAGCCGAGTGGGGCAGAAAATTTCCCCGAAGCCCCGTGTCCGTGGTGGTCCCGAACGCCAGGCCCCGTCTCAAGCCCGGGGCGGCGGCGGAGCGCGGACTGGGGCCCGTGGAGCTGCGTCCAAGATCGGGCCTCCCCGCAAAGGTTTTCTCACCTCGCTGCTCCCAGGTCCTCTCCGACCGGGAAAACTAGGAGTGCGAGCAATGTCAAAGATCCTCGCCATTCCCAGACAGGATGAGAACGCCGTAAAAAATTAGATTTATTTATGCACATATTTATCCTCTCTAATTATAGAAATTAATCCTCTTACTTATGACTAAAAGGTAACGTCTAAGGCGTCCCTTTGATGTTTAACAGCATCATTTGTGGCTAACATTCCAACTGATTAAGGAATAATTGTTGTTAAATGCTTTACAAGTGGATAGTGTTTAATTGAGAGGCATTCATAATTTTACGGCTTACCACAAAATGAAACGTAATTAAAAACGCAGGAACTTCCAAGTGATTTTATTCCAATTATGTTTATTGTTCAGACTAATTACTGCACAAGATGGGGTACTTTTCCCCATCTCTAAATGGCACACGCTTCCCAAATATGCTCTTGCAGGTTTTTCTTTTGCAGGTACTGGCTTGGGACGGCTTTCTTAAGCCTCTGTTCCCCCCACCCCCAGCCCTCCATTATAATTAAATGCTCCAGTCTTTTTTTCTCTCCTCCCTGCAACACCTTGGGATGTGAGAAAGTGATGGCAGCTCTCTTCCCTCGGAGCTCGAAGCAATTGTAGAGGGGCTGATGAATTTCTTGAAGAAACGCCACACACTGAGGAAACCATCTCCTAGCAGGATTTTACAAACCAAAGTAAACAAAGCACCCCAGGGGCGATTTCCTCCTTTTGCGCAGCTCACTTCTCAATTTACCTCAGAAGGGATCACAAACACACATGCGAATTACATCAGAAATCATACTTGGTTTGGGGAAGATATTCTGGATGAGAAGGAGCAGAGAAATTGAAAGCGTTCAAAGGAAGGGATGGTCATTAAAATACCTGCCAGGCGCGCTGCCGTTCCCCTAACCAACCTTCCCTCTTCCCTGTGAACTCAGAAATCTCTTCAGCATCTATTTAAACATACACATCCCTGGGAGAAAAAAAAAAAAAGAAAAGGGAAAAAAAAAAGAAAGAAACCAACCTACACACACCTCAGGTCCATAACGCCTTTAGAACAACCTCATCCTCGGAAAAGGGTGGGGAATAAAGTTACTTGCCTAATTTTACTGTTTCCTCAATCGAAGAGTTTATTGTGAAAATGGGTTTGTTTATTTATTCCTGAGTTTCTTCTTCCCTCAGCTGAGCTCTTGGAGAAAATTAGGGAGTTCTCTGAGACCATGCTAATGAAAAATCAGTGCTAACAGTTAAAGGTAATAATCAGATCAAATCAGACTCTGATAAAATGGGGGCGGGGGGGGGGGGAGGCATCAAATGTCCAATACTGCTTCCAATTTGCTTTCTTTTCCTTCGGGCTCCTAATCATTAAGAAAGGATCACACACATATTTATTGCTCCTTTTGTCTCCTTTCTAGCAGGATGTAAACCCCTGTGCATGTGTGCGCATGGTTCGGGGGGGGGGGGCTTTGCACTCTCTGGGAGGGTTGCAGCATTCACAGGTGTGCTCTGGCTTGTCACTGTCTCCCTCCTCAGTTTCCCAATTCTCCTGGAGGGTTTAATCTAGGTGTGAGAGTAGAAAAGTGTTTAAATTCTACTGAGGAAATAATCAGGGGGGAAGTGGTGGTGGTGGTGGTGAAGGAATTCCCTCTTAAGGCAAGTTAGAAATAGCTCAAGCTTTCCAAATGGATGTTTAAATTGGACATAATGGAGAAATACCTCTTTTTTTTTCCTTCTTCTTTTTCTCTTCAGGTATGAGTCTTGAATCCTCTCATTAAACTGACACAGATTTCCAGAGATGGAGAAAAGGAGGGGTATCTGGGGTGGACATTTTATGTAAATGAGCAAATCTGAAATGTATTACAAATCCACTGTAATAAAACTGACAGTTTTGACAGTATTGACAACATAAATATATGTTGGAACACAGCACTTTCAGACACTTAACCGATGAAGCAATAAAAAGATTCGACTACAATATTTCAAATAATCGACATTGATGTTTTGATACATCATTTTTATACTTCGAATCGATCTATCACTCTATGACCGGTCAATTTTAAGTAAAAATCTGCTGCAATTATTTACGCTAGTGCCAATGACGACCTAATAACTGTTTTCAATTAATTACAGCAAAACTAAGCATTATGAGGACTAACCAGTCGCATATTCCATTGTACGGCATTTCTTGTATGGAGAACAAATACATATATGTATATTGTATTCTCTTTGTGGGATCAAAAGAAAGACATACAAAGACAATCACAATCTTAGAGGGAAAAAAATAAAAAGCAACCTCTTTTTGAGAACACACCACTGGCTCTTGCCACATACTTCTAGGAAACGCTATAATATTTTGTCAGCTCTCTCAGTGCAATACCAAAGCGAGCTCCTAAGACTTTTTTTTTTCCCTTTTCTCTTTGGGTTGTGCGCTGAATCCCGTTTCAAACAATGGGCCGAGCAGTTCTTGAAAAAAAAAAAAGGGGGGGGGGGGAAATTCATGCTTCGAGTGATCGCCTGCCTGTGTGTTGTGAGAGTCTCTGGATCATTTCAAAAGAGGTAGGAGTATATTGTTCTCTCCGGACCGAAAACTTCTGTAAAAATGAGAGCGCTCCTCTTCTGGAGTTTTATAGGCAGCTGGAGAACAAAAGGGGATATTTTGAGTGAGCGAGAGCAGAGCTCTGAGCAGAGTTTGGAGCCTTCACGGATTCTCTGATACTCACTAAACTCATTTAGTTTGCCCTAACTGTCCTTTTGGTTATCATGCCATATTGGAAAGAAGGATTTTTTTTCGTACTTCGGGTTTCTTCAAAAAAATGCAAACTAGATTTTTAACTATCTGGTGGAAGCAGTGGTGGGGGGGGGGTTTTTTTGGTGGGTTTGTTTTTTTTTTTTTTTTTTCTGGTGTATAAATGGAAATACATCGGTTGTTTATGATCTTCACTTTTACAAACCTCCCAGCCTAAATAAAATGAAATTTAAAAAAAAAAAAAATCTCAGCTCTCCTCTGACTTTAGCGTTTCATGTGCACCCGCGTGAGATAAACCGGACAAACCCGACGGGGTTCATCTGTGTGCCATTTCCCACAGCGGGTTTCGCCCCACAGGGATGGGGTGCGGGGAGGGGACCTCATCAAAGTCTTGCGGGAGTCGCTGAGTCAGGGACAGGAGTCCTGCGGACGCGGAGCGGACCCCGTCCCCGGCTTCGCGCAGGCGGCAGGCTGGGCCCGTGGTGGGTCCGCGGGCTCTTGCTGGAGCCCCGCCAGATAGCGCTAGAGGGCTGCTGATGGCATTCCGCGCTGCAGCCGGGGGAGAGGCAGACCGGAGGGGGGGACATCCCACAAATGCCAGGTTAGAGCCTTGTAACCCGGGGAAGGAGGGGGAGAAAGAGGGTCGGGAGAGAAGGATGACCCCGAATCGTTCTTGCTTCGTGTAGGTTTGGGGTTTTTTTTCCTTTAAAAAAAAAAGGGGGGGGGGGGGGGGGAGAAAGAGTTAAAAGTGAAGTTAACAGGTAAGTAAATGAACTCCTCCTAATCCAGCTCCCAAAGATCTCAGTCATACCACAGTCGAGGTCAAGAAAAGTTCACCGTGATGGGCTACCATTGACTTTCTGGACTAGAAAGATTTTCGACAAATAATAATACATTGCTGAGCGAAAAGCAAAGTATGCTACTGGCAGGCGGGGGGATCGGGGTGAGAAGCTAAATGAACCCAGTGATCTGCAGAAGCTAAAACGTGCATGATTTCACAGGGGCAATCGAGATGGGACCTCAAAAGTCGTGCAGCTGCGGGAAGTCGGAGGCGAATCAAAGTGTGCTGAGACGAATAAAAAGTGACTGAAGTTGTAAAAAGCAACCGTAAGGGCAAAGGAGAGTGTGCTAAAGAGTGGTTTTGGGGTTTAGCAATATGAACTGTGGTATAATCCTGATTCTAAAAAGGAAAAGGTACTATTTAAACCCCACACTTTGGTTTGTGAGCAAAACAAAAAGGAAAAATCCTGTGTATTTCACTACGGGGTCATGGTGATGTAATCCCGCATCCTCATTTTAACAGGCAGATTGTTTTCTTCATTAAATATGACACATTGCCTAGAACGATAGTTCGAGAAAAAATGCCAGTTCGAATATGCAAAATTTTTCACTCTCTTCCTCGATATCCTCAGCCCGTCCGTAGGGAGCTTTGCCTGCAAATGTAGTCTATGTGTTACGGAACACAATGGCATCATCCAAAAATACTTGAACTCAGCACACAAACAAACAAACATTAAATAAGGCTACAAACGAGATTAAGGTTCAAGTTATTTGTTTCTGTAGCAAGGCGTCAATTGTTCTAACAGATGTAGGGACGTTAAGAGGATTTAAACCACGCGAATTTAATAAACCAGATTAGCAATAGGTGCTTTCCACAAATGCCAAGAACCGGAAAGTAACTCTAGCCTAAATTACCCACCGTCCGGAGCATCACCTACAAGGAGAGCACAAAATTTCCTACAGAGTCCAATAGGATTTCGTGTAAGCATGGCTTATTTCCTCCAAAAAACTTTCTATTTGCATTAAATCTTGCACTAAGCACACACATGCGTGCAAAACAGCAGTTTAAGGTCTCCGAAGGGATTTATTCTTGAAATCTGAAATATTACCTGTTGTGCCATCCGCTTTTGCAAGGCTGTGGAAAAAGAGAGGGAGAGAGAGGGAGGTAGCGACCGAGCGAGAGAGGCATGTCTCAAAGCCAGCAAAGGACTAAGATGCCACACTTCGGAAAGGCTGATTGAAAACAGACTCTTCTTAAGTTTTAGAGGATTTTCTCTCTCGCTCCCTCCAAGGACTAAGAAGCCGATTTAGGAGTTTGAAGGGAATAGGTTTCAGCATCCATATTTGTTCTGGTGCACTTGTAAAATGCGATTTGAAGAGGATCTTTAGCCCTCTGATTGTCTTTGTATTGTTTTTCTTGAAACGGATCTTTTGCCCTTAATGAATCCCCACACAGCTGGACAGCTCCTGCTCGGACACTGAGAGCGCTAACCCCAAACTGACCCCAATTTGACACCACAAGATGAAATTTTACCGCCTGTTAAAACCATTTCCAGCCTCGGCAAAAGGAGCTGGCGGTTGACTGAGATGCACTTCCATACCAGACACCTCATTTCTCTTTGGACTTTTGAGCCGATCTATTAAAAAAAAAAAACCAAACCAAACCAACCAACCAACCAAACAAACAAAAAAAAACCCAACCAAAACAAAACAAAACCTCGAACACACACAGACTCACACCCCCCAATTCATCTCTCACACTTGTCCTGAAAACAGCCTTCGCTGTGAAAGTGATGCGGGAGAAATGGAAATTAGCCCATTTTAATTTTCCCGAATTGCTGTTTTTTAAACAGCACCAGTCTGGGGGGGAAGTAAATAAAAAATTACATAAGTATGTGAAAGCCCCCACCCCCTGCAAGCATGTGTCCCATTTTCCTCCGAGTTCCCAACAGCATCTTTGTTAATAGCTGAGTACTTCACTTAAGGGCGCTAAATTGAGATTCTTTTTTAATGGCTAAACTGTAACGCTTTATAAACCATGTTCTCTGTGTGCTTTAATCCACTGGGATAGCAAAGACGAAAAAGGCTTCAAGTCTTTTCACATGGAAAAAAAAATACGCAGAAGGAACATGAAAGCCCTTCATTTACTACATGCAATTTCACTTTCTATCAAGTTAAAATAATTTCTTAAGTTGGTCTCTGTACCAGATTACACACATGCACAGCAGGATGAGACAACGCAGGGGGTTAATTAGTTTAGGAGGGGAAAAAAAAAAGAAAACAAAAATTAAACAAGTGAAAGGAGCAGCATTGAATAGTGCAAAAACCTTTGGCTGCTTTTTTTCAGCTTTGATTTTAGTCTGTTTTCTAACAATTCCTTAGTCAGGAGAACCGAGATCTACAGGGACTTCTGTGAAAAACAGAATTGCCAACAAGAAAAAAAAAGTGTCTAAAATTATATTCTAAGCAATGAAGTGATTTATTCTATGGGAGCCAAGTCATCTAAAAACTTCTTTTTGTGAAGAAAACTGATGAACTTTTACAGTTTGAAGTCTGAACAAATACATGGAACCTCCAGTGGAGCTAGATTACTTTTGGACAACCAGGTTATAAGGAAAGACCCCTTCTTTGGTGATATCAAAACTGTTTTAAAAGAGACACACTTGTATGCCTCAAGGGGCAAGGCACTGCCTCGGTTAAAAAACAAGTTTGGAAGCTACAAATATTTGAACCACGTCCTCTAAGCTGGCTGCATCACAAGCAAATGATTCCAGGCAAGTTGAGAAATCTGGCATCTCTGGGGCGCGGGGGGTGCGGGGGGGAAAGGAAGGGGGAAGGAAGAAAGAAGGAAAAAACGCCAAATAACATTCACCGATTACTAGATCTCTTAAAAAAAAAATCTGTTAGAAAACCACCGCTGTAAAAGTAGGAAAGGATTTGCATAACCTACTGCTCTGTAGGTCTCCGCACACCCAAAGGATTAGCCAAGCATTCATTACCATGAATATCTTGAATTACGTTACCGATTTATACGACAGAGTATAAAATACTGCACAAGAAGGCTGACTTTTTCCCTACGAAATGAATCGACTTAATCACTGCTTGAAAGAGATCTACATACTAAGGGCTCTTCTACTCACCTCTCTTTAAAGTCCCGTGAAAGTCAGTCACAGCAATTCGGTTGCTCTTGGGACTAGCTTTAATCTTGTAGATCCTCTAGGAAAAAAAAAAAAAACAAACCGGATCTGCTCTCCGGCTTCTGGCGGGTTTTAAGCAGGGTGCAACTCTCGCTAAAAGTAGGAGAGGGACTTTTCTCCATATTCCCCTCATATTTGTAAATACAGCCCTGCTCTGCAAGGCTCGGCTCTAGCGGAACACGCAGGAATGCCCACTGGCATTTGTCAGCCCTCCACACTATCTTTCTTTATATGTGAGGGTTGATTTCCCGCAGACATCATTGTTATGATGGCTCATTTAATCAAACTGTTTAATTGCTCCGGTAATCACTATCATCATCACAGGTACTCAATCATTCATCATTTTGGAGGGGTTTATTGACCTCTGGAGCTCATTCCCTTCGCCTATTAAAATCAGGCCAAATATCTATACCCATCCCTTGAGTCATTTTCCTAAAGTTTAAAAAAAAAAACAAAACCAAAACAAACAAACAAACAAACCAACCACAAAATCAAAACCCAAAAAAGTCCAAGCAAACAACAACAACAAAAAAAAAACCAGTGAAAAGCATCGTCATCATCACGAAAAGCAAAGCAACCCAAAATCTAACTGAATATCATTTTTTCTGCCGTGTATTTTCAAAAGCCATCTATGTATGAGGCCACATTCACAATCGGGTACATAATCATTGATAAATCCCACTATTAACGGGATAGTCTGTTTTAGATTTTATGTGCAGGGGACCGTGAACGAGGGTGGGGGGGTTGGGGAGGACAAAACTGCAGCAATCGATAGTTTGACCATCGCTCCTCCCCTAAACTTCAAGCACCCCCCATGATTGATGATCCCGCGTAGCTTTGGTAATTGACTGC